CTCTCTCATGTCTAAATTTAAATTATTAATTAAACTCTTTAAGGCACTGTTTAACAAATGTGACAATCGAAATACTCAACTTAATTTGCAAAACAAAACGACCACAGGCTCATCACAAGTGCAACCACGTTGTCAGTTGCCTATCAATTAGCACCTTAGAGGCATTGTAAGGTAAATCAAGCATGCAAAGCAACCAATTACAAATTCAACAATCGACAAGCAAATGACATTTTTGATAAACTTACAAACTATGTGTACATACATATGTATGTATAACGAAATGCATATGTCACTGCAAGGTTTTCTGTCAGAAAAAGTTGAAAATTCGTTGACCACCTCAAATTCATTTCAATTTTTGATTTCAAACTCTCTTTCTCTCTATCATTTTACACACTGATCACTTTCACTTTGCGGGAATGGCACATGTCCCCTGTGGCAACGTTCATTGGCTGCAAAGCGCAAACATGCATCAGATACAACTTTGGTAAACGAAACTACAACAAGTAAGGAGGGGCTTATTCGGGTATAACCGATTATTTTATGCTCTTACAACCCGATATATCATTGATACAGGAAAATAAAAGAAGCAGAAGGAATTTAAATTTTTGTTATATGGGAAGTATTCGTGGTTGTGCTCTGATTTCGCACTGGAACACAGGAATGTCAAAACGGTATTTGTGCCAAATTTCTTCGATATCGATCGAGTACATACAAAGATAAGGGGTTACACCTAAATGTGGATAATAGTTTCTTCATCTTCTTGGCGTAGACAGCGCTTACGCGGTTTTAGTCGAGTTAAGAACAGCGCGCAACTCGTTTTCTGTTTTCGCTATTTGGGGCTGGACTGGAGATTTCAATCGAAGCCAGGTCTATCTCGACCTAGTCTTTTCAACGGAGTGAAGGTCTTTCTCCGCTTCCCCCGGCGGAGATTAACGCACAAACAACTAGCAGATGCACAACACGTCTCGCCTTATTGCTGAAAGTTAAAAATAGTTTTTATGTTTTTCTCCTGTTTATTTTTTAATAAAACAAAGTTCGTGTCATTCTTATAGTCTTCGGTGTATACACTTCCTCACACTACTCTCCACACATTTTCGTATTTTCCTTTTTTTCATAAATTTTAAACACGTTTCTGAAAGCAACTCATCCGTTGCTAACTTCCGCAATCGTGTATAGCCGGCAGCATTTCCTGCTACTAATGCGTTCCAGAATATCAGAAACGAAGTCAAAATGCTGTGCATAAAAATTGCAAAGAAAGGAAAATAAATATTGCGTTAAGCGCCTGATGGAGTACGCTATGTTGTTGCAAACAATGAAGAAAGCGATAAAATTCGATAAAATAAAAATTTGTTATGGATATAAAAAACGATTTCAGTGGTGTCTTACTTAGTATACAACATTAAGTATTTTTGAAGCAAATTTTGAGCAATGAATTGCCTAATTTCAAATAATATTAAATCCTTCTGGTTATTTCCATATTTCGCTATTAAATCTGTTGCCTACATTTGGGTGCATGACTTATTAATTTGAAAAACATCATACGGATCTCATCATCAATACTTTAATTTGCTATTTAGCAAAGCCAGCTCTGCTAATAGTTAAAATCTCCTCCCAACATCCGCCTTTCCCAGTTTTTTGTAAGTAATTTCATGCACAAGTGAATAAATTTGTCAACGAAATAAATGTAAATTTTGATTTGTGTATTGAGCTAAAAACAAACAAATGCGTTAAATTTTCAAAGTCCCACAATTATTGTGTCAATGTACCGGAAGTAAAGTGTAAATAAATCTTTTCGACTAGCGTTAACGTTTAATTCGATTTATACGCGCCGGTGTTTTATTTACACTTTCCAGATTTGAACGAAACCAAATATTTGCATTGCATTTATCGTTAGATTACAAGCGTAGCAATAAACAAAAATAAAAACCGTTATTTACATATATAAGTATTGATTAGGAATTCGTAATTTTACGGGGACCGCTGCTTTCAAATATTGAACTGTGAATTTTCTGTATTGTTCAATGCTCAAAATTGTATACAATTTGTGCAGCCATTATTTTTGTTACGGAAAGGGGGTATTACCATAAGCTGAGATCGCCTTTGGTGGCGCTTGACTGTCGATAAGAATAGCGATATGCTGGTTGCGAAGCATATTGATTTCTGCCCACTCACTTATAGCAAAGACTTCTACTTGAAATATGTTCGGAAAATATCCCATTAGTATGGATGGTTTGGTCCCGCATTGCCTGTTTCAATGCCTTAAGGCAGGTATAAAGGGATGTTCAACTTATTCCAGTGTGAGAACACCTCAAAATTAGCGTTTTTTATAACATTTTCCATTATGACCAGATTGGACAAAATAATAATTTTTGGGCATTTAAATTAAAACAACCAACATTTAGTACGAATAAAAATTACTATACACTGGTTATTTATTATATGGAGAAACTATTTAAATTTTTTTAAACTATATTAGAACAACTGATATTTGACTTTTCAATGCCCACTAAAAGGATTTAATAATTTTCCATTGAAAATAATACTATAATGCTTCAAATTACAAAACCTTTCATCAAATACCTTTAAATTTSACAAATTTATTTAATTTTCATTGTTTTGCATTTTTTATAAGTGGTATTGAACGATGTAACAAATCCCTCCGATTACATATTTTTTTGCTAAGATTTCAATCTGGTCATCGCTTGTTTCCAATTGTTAAACGTCAAAACCTCCTGAACTCGATCAACTGTCAAAGTTTAGGTGGTTTGACGTTTAGCAATTGTTCTCTCACTTCCAGTGAGAGAGGAGTTAAGCATCTCATTATCTCTGCCTTAAGGTGTTATCGAGCAGTCAGTATACTACTGGACAGTACTGCTCCTCAGTTGTAGGTAGAGCATGGAATTACTCCATACCGCCTTACTGCCGAAAGTAAATCTGAACTTCTTTGTAAAGTTAGCCCTCTTCGTAACGCCACTTCTTGGCCAGTGATATACCACTAGGGCCTTCATTTGTTTAGACGACATCATCTTTCCTTTGTCAAAACCCTCTACTGCCACGAGCAGCATGGTATGTTTCGCTATCTGTTTGATCACTAGATACAAGGGTGGAATTTCAGCATGACTTGAAGTACTGAGATTGATCAATTAGGTATTGTCCCCTTATATCCCCAAGCAACCGCTCCATACGTGACAATACGCCTTGCGTTCATGGTATGCAGCCATGTTATGATACCTGGCTTTCAGCCATAGGGTCTGCCAGCTAGGTGTCTACATATCACAGTGTTAACTCCACGTGCCCATTCCACCGTAAGGTTGAATCTAATGTGAGGTCAAGGAATTTGACCTCTTTCGACATCTCCAACTCCCTGTCACCTGGTATTAGGGGACTCAAACTCGAAAGAGATCTTCACTTTGTAAAAGGGACAACGGTTATTTTGTCCTTTTGAAACTTTTTATCATATTTATATCTGACACATGAAGTTATAACAGTTAGCAGCAATTCTGAAACCTATATCCCTAAAAAGAAGTCCCTATATATCAATTGATTTTTATAATGACTGTACCCAGCGGAATTTGTGTATTATTTCGAAGACGATATCTAAAAATCTAAATTTCGAATCTTATTAAAGTTATTGGAACATGAAGACAGTTTTGTATAACAACTCAATGACAATGTCAACTAGGGAGTAAGTTTTTTAAAGTGTTACACTAACACCGAAAATGATGTAACTTTATTTGCAATTTAATGCTCATAACATATTTGTAACTTAAATCTCTACGTGTATGATAAGTTTTTTTAGTTATTTCGTCTTACAGCTTAAATTACAATATAAATTTGGCTAGTACTTGTACTGACTTTGTGATTTGATTTAGCCAATCATCACCAATCAGCGATTTTTGTCGAATAATTTGATGTTAATTTATTTCTTCTTAAGAATTTTACTTTCTTCTTTCTTTACTTACTTATTTGCTCGTTTGTTATTTTGAGGCATCTCTTTACTTGATTGCTTTGAAGTGTTTCGGCGAAGTTTGAAAAAACTATGACAAAAGAGAGTCAGATCGGCTTCGATATTTTTTTTTTCTCTACAGAATATACATAAATTATATTAGGTTGTCAAAAAAGTATTGCGGTATTTTCACTAGTTGACGCTGAGAGCGCGTAATTCTAGTTTTATTCGTCGCATCGGGTCAGGCTATACCTTTTTGGAAAGTGTTTGATTGATTGTCGTTTTTTTTAAGTCGTTCGTAAGTTATAGCGTCGCAAACATGGAGCGAAATAAAGAGAAAATACGGCATATTGTAGAGTACTACTACGATAAAGGCAAAAACGCATCTCAAGCCGCCAATAAAATTTGTGAAGTTTATGGACCCAATACAGTTTCGATTTCCACCGCACAACGATGGTTTCAACGTTTTCGTTCTGGTGTAGAGGTGGTCGAAGATGCGCCACGCCCTGGAAGGCCTGTCGTCGAAAATTGCGATAAAATCGCTGAATTGGTGGAAAGATACCGGCATAGTAGCATCGGTCAAGAGCTGGGCATAAGTCATCATACCGTTATAAAATAAAAAATAAAAATAAAAATAAAAAAATAACGCAAGACTTTTTGACATAAATACTATTTTAATTGAGCATAAATACTATTTCCGACAAAAGAAGAATTTGAAGAAGCCTTTCAACTTTACATTTTTAGAAGTTTATCTTCGAAGTTTTCCATTGGTGTGGTCGCAAATTATCCAAAGTTCTCATATTTCACAATGTTGGCTGTTATGTATATGTGTGCCCACAACATGTGTTATTATCAAACATTGGTATGAGACAAAAATAACATGAAAACCCCAAAATCATTAATTTTTTTCTTTTTATTTTCATTTTTATATCCCACAGTTGTTATTTAGCAATTAAATTATGATCTTTATTTATCGTGCAATTAGTTGTGTGATATTTACACAGTATTAATATTAATTATGCCACATTTATTTATTAATTTATTTGCTCTTCAGGTGGACCTGCGGCATATCGACGAGCTGAACGGCACTAACGTTGTTGAAGTTGGTGTTGATCTATCAGAATTTTACACATCAGTCGAATGGGATATATTGGAAGTTCCTGCAGTGCGGTGAGTGCGCAGTATTTTACTCAAATAATTTTTATATTTCCTTTGTCTTATTTTACTATGATTATATTTTTAAATGGAAAGTATTTGTGGTTATGGAAATTATGTTTCGTATGAAACTCAAGAAAAATTACAAATATTTATATGCACTGCAAAGCGGCAAATATCTCTTGAGACCAAACGTCTTTCTATAAGATTTTGCTTTCAAATTATATTCTTCCATTATATAGCCAATATCGTTTTCCTTATTCCCGATTCAACTAATTAATTCATAGCAGAATGCTTCATTTTGATTCAACAAAGTACTTCATTGGTGTTCATTACTATTTTTTTTTTGCTATAACAATTGAAAGGGTGCCACATTACGAATGAAGCATGGTCGTAGATCCTATTTCATTTCTTAGCTGTCGCCGCAATTTTATATCTTAATTCAGAACTTAGTTGAATATAATAGATTCTTTTAGTAAATTTAGCTGGTCTAGCATCCGATCAAAATTGACCCAAACTGACTAATTTACACTGCAAGCAAACCGAATCGATAAAAAAAATGTTTCTAGGTTGATACTGGAAAATGGCAGGAACGAAAATGATCTATGAAATTTTTCTTTTAAGATACCAATATCTGTTTTCCTATTCTAATAATTTGTTCATGGCAGAATTCATCATTTTGGTTCAACTAAATACTTCATTGTTATTTATGAAGCGTGTCAGACTCGTACTAAAAGACCTGAATATTGTGGAAAAACGGTGTCGAGTAGTGTTCGCGAATGAGATTATTGACAACGTACTTAAATACCCTACCCTACACAAACTCGTGACGAGACATGTTAATCTAATGAATGCTGCTCCAAAAATGAACCAAAGCCGAAAAGAAAAAACCTCGTGCAATCCACAACGACCATCCTAACCTAGGCTTACTATATTACAAGTGTACAAAAAATTTTATTAAACATTGGCATACATAGGGCACAATAGACCTAAGGTCGCAGTGCATTCCTCAGTTATGTATCTTGTATTAGCTCAGGAGCCTATTTTAAGATTTGTTTTAGAATACGTAAAATTTTTTTTTTGTTTGCTAGTCTGTGTCAAATATAATCAAATATTACGTATCATATTTGAATTATTCTAGTGTTTCACTCCTTACTTCCTCAGAAATACTGTCGATGAGCTTTGGACGTAATAAAATATATGTATCGGGTTTTCCAATAGAAGTGAAATGATTTCCAAAAAAATCACACACCAATTGTTAAGGAAACTCAATTTTTTCTATTTTATGCGAAGTACAATCAATGCCATTAAGTTTTGAAAAGAACATCACTCAAATGACCCCCTTAACTTTTTTTCATGAACGAATTCTATTAACCCAATTTTGCAGTACTTTTTCCACTAAATCGAAGCTTGAAGATAGTCTGCTTTATTGCTAAAGACCAATGACTTCAAATAACAACACAAGAAATAGTCTAATGATATTATTGGAGGCTATTTAATGACAAAATTTCTTGAAATAAATAAATCTCCGCTCTCCATTGACAGTGACAGTGCAACCAGCTTATTTTCGAAAAAGGTACGAACCATTGATTCCACCAGAGTAAAAACCATACATGGTTGTTCATAAATAATTTGTGGGACACTTTTGTTTTTTCCCCGCCCAGGCATCAGATGAAAGTGAGCCTTATGTAAGAAGATGACTTTCTTAAATAAATTGTTATCATTTTCAAGTTATTCCACCGTTTACGGTGGTCCAATTTTTTCAGTTCTTGAGTGAGAACCATTTTATACGGATGAAAATCTAAATTTTTTTTTTCAAAACCCGCCAAGTTGTGGTTTGGGAGAGTTTCAATTCTTGGAAACGTCTTGGAATTGACAAATTGCGACCTGAACGGCTCAAAAGTGTCAGCCATTTCCATCTTTTGGAGCAAAATGGTTGGCACTCAAAATGCTATACGTACCATACATATCACAAACTAACGTAATATCCCACAGCTGTGAGATACACGTTGCTTATGATGATTAAATTAACAAAACATATCGATTATATTAAAGTACTGTTCTTGGAAAAAAGCCATATGAACTTTTCATCATACGTAGTATGTCATTAAATTGTTATTTGATGTAACTTAGACTAATCATGTCTTTACTACCTTCACTGTGTTCAACATGAGAATAACACTTTTAATAGCTCAAAGCTCCAGAATCCAGTTACGCCTTATTGTTACCAGCATCATTGTCATTCGTACCTGAATAAGATTCCGTAGAGCAATGACAATATGTAAATGAATACATACATACAAAGCTCACATGTGATTATTTGCCTTTTGTCCCATTCTCCTTCAAGTCCAAATACCTTTGGTGGACACTAAGACATTTCGTCCACGTCGCAAACACACTCCAGAGAAAAACGTGAATAGCCAAGCAAGCAATAAAGTAGTAACTGCGTGCAAAAGTGAAAAATGCGACCTTTTTATTAACTGTTAGTTGCTCGGCGCTGCCAAATAGCTACAATGATGATGACACAATGTCACTTTGCTGAACTGCTGTCAACCGAAAATGTGAGGGAAGACGTGTATAAGAAAGTGAACATTGCAGAATAAAAAAAAATGCCAAGGAAACAAGAAAAAGAGGCACGAGTGCACACTTATTTCCGAGCTGATTATAAAGCGACTGTGTTTGCCAAAGGAAAAAAGCGCCATAGCACATATGGATTTATGAGAAACAAGAGTGACGGAGAGCGCATACTGGCAACACTCTTTGATGGCAGTACACACCAGCCAGCAGTCACCAGCATACATTATACTTTTCACAACCATCACATATGCAACTAACAACTCAATTCAGTTCAGCTCATCTAATTTTTTTCTTTTGCACCTTTTAATTTTTTTTATTTACTCTATACACATCATTCGCAGTGGCTTCATTTGGCCGGCAACAAACAAAGCGCTGTTAAGAAAAGTGTGTTCGAAAAAAGGCGAAATTGCTGAAAAAAGCCTTTGGCGTGACGGGCGTCAACAAGCACTAACGCATACGCAGCTAAACTGCCAGCTGTTTGCTCTCTTTGTTGTACTCTGCAAAGTCACTGCAGTGAATTGGACTTTTTTTTGGCATTTATGCATGTTGTTCTATTCCATGTATGAGTGTGCGTGCCTACATACGAAAGTGTGCTTTTATAGACGCTTCTCTACTCAACTTTGCACACGTGCTTCTTCTTTTCTTTTTTCTTTGTTATATACTGGTTTATGGCTCTTTTACGCTTCTGTGCGCCTAAAGGTATGCTTCAAATGAGATTGTCATGCTTCGCAATATAGTCAGAACGTTTATGAATTGACTCATTTTATAACGAGTTTGCTCCTTAATTGGCACGTTCACCTTTTTAGCTAACCTTCTTTCCTTTTTCTAAATTTACGGTTCTTGTCTATTGTGTGAGCGATTGTGAGTTAAAAGGTCTAAATTTGATAAATCTGCACAAATGAATTGTTTATATCGATTATTTAAACGGCTCTATAAATACGCCAAATATATATTTCTTATATCTGCTGCAGTTATGGTCTCCTCTACCGCTTTTATACTCTTGCAACATGTTGCTACAGCGTATAATAGTTTTGTTCACTTAACGGTTGTATGTATCATCTAAAACTATTCTAGTTAGATGTTTGGTTTATATATAGAAATGATCAGGATGATGAGACGAGTTAAAATCCGAGTGACTGTCTCTCTTCGTGCAAGCTGTAACTCGAGTGAAAATTGAGATATTTAGATGAAACTTGTCAAATATGTTTCCTGTTAAAAAAAAGTAAGAAAAAAAGCAATATGTAATACGTAATCGTAGCACTGTCACGCCCACAAAGCGCCATTAAAGGAAAAACCTATACCTATAAAGTGCGATAACTAAGCATTTGATTAAGAAAAGTAATTTGTTATAGGGGATTGCAACAGCAAGAGCACCTGTGGGCTCAAAATTTCAAAAAAGTAGTAACCGCTCCCCAGATAACGGTATTATACAAATCAATAACTAAATAAACCAGAGTCATAAAATTTTACACTCGAGATGGTGTAAGGGGGCCCTATAGGAGCCACGCCTATTTCCCATATAACACAATTTGAAATTCTATTTGATTCTTTCACAACGGCATAAACAGATTTTTTCTCAGAGTAAAAGCTCTATATCTCGTAAACAAAATGAAAGTACTCTGAAATATGTTATGTATTTAAAGCAATTATGTGGGCGACTTCATAGGAATTACTCCTTCTGACTTTCATTTCCGCTCACCTAAAATATAATCCGTTTGACTCGTTGTTGACGGCATTTAAATTCACACATCTTCTCAGCTTCAGGGACCGTTCCAGATTCTCATCTCTAATCTATTAGCTTCTGAATATTCTCCATCAACAATTTTAGTTTATACTTTTAGTTTGGAAAATTCTTTTTCTTAATTAAATGCAAGTAAATTGCAAAGTTCAAAACATATTTAGCCGGATGATTATTAAAATTATTACGATTTTTACTACTAGTACCTTTTGTATAGTGCAAAATTAGGATTCTGCAAATTACCCATATCTTAATTTTAAATTCATCCTAAATGTAGGCAACATTTTCTTTACAAAAAAATATATTACAACATATCTTTCTGAAGATTTGAATCAGAGACTTCAAAATTGTACTTGTATATGTATATATGTATTTTATTAACCATAAATGGAATCAATAAGAAGAAAACCCCTTAACTTCAGCTGCATCAAAGCTATAAAACCCTTCACAAACACAAAAGAGTTCATACAAAAACTTGATTTTTTACGGTCACTTTGTATGGCTATAGTGATCCGAACTGAACGAATTCTTCAAAAAAATGCACTCATATCATAATTTCGTGAATATATTTGTATATCCTCAAATAAAAAATGTTTCCATCAGAATGGACTACTTATAATATATTATACATCTAATCTATAAGGCCTCCGATGTTTCGTTCGCGACTAACTTAATACATTCGGTTCACGGTATATAAACG